AGGGCCTCTGCCCAGAACATGTGCATATCTGATAAGGGCCCCGCGAGGGCTCAATTCTCCGCACGTACACGGCCTTTTAGGGTGATCACACTGGCCTGTACCCAGGCCTTGGCACATATTGGCAGGCCCGCCTTCACTTAGGGCGGGCAAGGCCTTTCCCAACACCGTCGAGGGGTCAAATCCCCGCATACCTTCCCCCCCCCCACCTTTGAAAGTCCCTTGAGAAACCTTTAAATTATTCATCAACCTGCTGTCTCAAGTGACTTGGTGCAGTACAACTTCTTGGAAGATGCAGAAGATATGACTTCTAAGGAGGGCTTCTTTGGGATGTCTCTATCCATGGTTGGGGGCAGCACGCTTTTTTTTTAATAATAAAACAGGGCCTTATGGTCCTGGCTCCTTCCATTCTGGGGAGCATCAGTCCGGTTCCTATTCCACCGGCAAGCCAGAAAATTATTACAATAAGAATCACGCACGCTTCCTTCCGTCTGGTCGAAGGACCCCTGAGCAGCATTGATTGCTCCACCTTGGTGGAGGATTGACTGCCAGCTTGCCATGTCTCGCTCTTCCCTCTCAGACCTAGTAACCAGATCTGCCAGATCGTTCCATGTCCCCTAGAAGGAGCTCAACCCTTGACCAAGCTAGCCTCTATGTCCTCAGTTGCCCTTCTTGTCCATGGGCCACAGTGATCTCTGCCCCACTTTTTCCTTCCCCTTGATTAAACACACTAGAACCCTAACCCCTAAGCCCTCATCAGGAAGCCATTAAACCTTGCTGACACCTTGCCTGTTTCCTTTAAGTGGAGTGTAACTGTCTTCCGTTGTAACCTTACTCCAGCATTCTCAGGTCCATACAACCTATCTGCCTGCAAAAGGGCTATGACGGCGCTTACCATTGAGGCTCATACTTCAAGGATTCTTTTTCATACGGAAGTATCGTCCTAAGCCCTAAACCCTCTCTTTGCAGTGCCCTAGCTGGCCGCTCCACCGGTTCCATCTGTCCTCCAATCTTGTCCTTCCTTTCCGAACCCCCAGTCATTGGCTCTGAACGCAGAGATGGTATCATACCCTGAGCCCCCAATCCCTCTTGAGTTCGTGTCCTAGCTATGCTTCCCCCATACGTGTCCCCTGTTTGTCTCTGACTCCGCCGCCTCCCTGACTCTTGGTGCTCGGTCACCCATCTTTGAACTTGAACCAATCTTTTCCGCTTCCTGCCGAATCTCCGCACCCTTCCCCTCCAGCAGCCATAGCCTGTTAGGGGCTGACTGGCCCTTAGACCCTAAGTTCTTCCCTCTTCCTCGTAGGGTTCTGGTCGTGAGGAATTCTGACCACCCATTGTATAAAACGTTGCCCCCTCTTGTCTGAAGTCGAGTTATGCCAGTCCTTCCAGCGAATGCGGTCTTCTCGTATCTCCGCCACTTTTCCGCTTACTCACCAGAGCCTGCTGAATCTCGTTCTCACCTTCTTTTGCTGGTCTTCGTCCTCTGGCCATGATTGTTTGGCTTTCTGCCATCTGCAGAGAATTTCGGCTTGTATCATCGTTTTCGTCTCAGCCCATACCTTCTCTCGTGAGTTGGAAAGTCCTTCGATGGTTCTGCTGCATCTTTCCTTCCAGATAACCCACAAGGTCACCTTTCTGATAAGCCCAAGCCACATCCTTTCTGTCTTCTGGAGTTGTTCGGGAATGTTAGGGTTGCTCAGGGAAGGGGGTCGGGAATAGGGAGTCCCAAAGGGCCGAAGCCCTCGCCCAGTAGTCCGTCGCCTCCCCGCAGTGTACTAGGCAGTGTATTATGTCCTCTATGGCCCCCTCTGTGCAGACTGTGCATAAATCCGAACTGTTGGGGTCTGAACCCTGTCGCCTGATGTGTAACCGTTGATTCACTGGAAGGGCTGCATAAGTAATGAGCCATTGGAGGCTCTTAATTTTGAGTGGTCTGATAGATTTGAACTTCTTCCAAGGGATCTGTGTGAGCTTATCAGCCTCTTGGCCCAGTATCTTCTGCCATCTTTTTATAATGATGGGCCCGGGATCTTTGGTTTTCAAGAAAAGTCTATACTCCAATTTAACTGTGTATTCGTGAACTGGGACATTGGACCTGATGTTCTTGGTCTTATCCGGCGTCCAAACCCACTCCGCCGGGTCAAATTCTAAGTTTTGAACAGCCGTATCACGTCTAAAGATTAACTTTGGCCCTGAGCCAAGGACTCTTACTTTTCTAAGTAGGAACAAGTCTATAGCTTCCGATTCCACCTCACTATTGAGTATGGAAGGCATAAGGAAAGGAAGAATCCTTGGTGGTCGAGCCCTGCAGCATGTGAGGATATAATCAGTTTTCATCGTATATGCGTGCCGGCAGGTATCCTACAGATTGAGGAGGCTTCACACTAATGTGGGTACTATAGCGGTGACCATCCCAATCAAACCCGAAACCAGACCAGACTACTGACTACCCCTTTAATTAGCTATAGCAGTATTCTAGATGTCAAGTCTTTATGTAACT